TTAAAAGTATAGAGCACAAAGGGACCTAACTAGGAGTAAAATTCCCATACTTTATGAGGTGAGGTAGCAAATGTTGATACAAATAGATGATGACAAGCCATTGTATTATTTAGGATGCTCCAGAGAAACAGAACCAATTATATATATATACACACACACACATATACACACACACACACACATTCTATTGTGTATATAGATAGAAAATATATTGTATATACACATATATTTCTATCTACATATAGAGTAGAATATATATAGAATACATATAGAATATGTGTCTATAGAATAGAGTACATATGTATATATATACACAAATATATATATTTGTATACATATAGGATATATCAAATATATATGGTACACCATATCTAGAGGATATATACATATATATGATATATGATATATAGGCATATACACACACACATATATATGTGTGTTGTATGTGTATGTATATATATATATATATATATATAAAATATATATATACATCATATATATGATCACAGAGACTGAAAAGTTCCACAATGACCAACTGTATGCTAGAGAGCCAGGGAAGCCAATAGCAGCTCAGTCCAGAAAGCCAAAAGCTTAAGAATGAGAAAAGCCAATAACGCAGCCCCTAGTCCTAGGCAGAAGGCCCAACAGCCCTCCAAAGGGTCACTGATGCAAGTCTCAGAGTCCAAAGGCTAAAGAACCTAAAGTCTAATGTACAAAGGTAGAACCAGAATAAAAGATGCTCACTCCAGAAGAAAGAGCAAGAGAGTAAGAATGTTTCACTCTTTATTCTCTCTGCACCATCCACAGTGCCTACCCACATTCAGGGAAAATCTGGTGCTCTCACTTCACTGATCCACATGCCAATCTTGTTTGGAAACAAGATAAGTTTTTCCTAAAGGGAAAGGCACAGGCCCTAAAATACTTAAAAACAATCTTGAAAAAGAACAATGAAGGAAGTTATTACTCTGATATTAAGTTCTATTTGGAGGATATAGAAATTAATACAGTGTGGGCACACATCTGTAATCCCAGTGACTTGGGAGGCTGAGGCAGGAGGATTGCAAGTTCAAAGACAGCCTTAGAAATTTAGCAAGGCCCTAAGCAACTTAGCAAGACCCTTCTCAGAATAAAATATTGAAAGGCCTGGGCATGTAGCTCAGTAGTAAAGCACCCCTGGGTTCCTCAGCACCAAAAAGAAAACAAGAAAGAAAAGAAGCAACTACTCTGTACTGTAGGGTTTCCCTCAGTATCCATCAGCTCTAATTGCAAACTCAGTGATGTTTGCATTTTTCTAAGGCAAAAGCTTTTACAAAAGCACTTCCACTCCCAGCCCATAATTTGTGATCTCAGTACCAACCTATTATCACTTATCACCACCACAGGGCCCAATAAAAAGGAAGGTCATTATAGGAATCTGATGCAAACTTTTCACAAAATCCAGTCTATCTTTTTGGACTCATTAAGAGAGAGAGATGATTGACACTTTTAAAGTTTTTATGATTCCATGTCCATGGGTAAAAATGTGTCTATGTGATTGGAAGGTGTGGGAAGGGCCCATGTTAGCACACATCTTCCCCTCCTAGGTCTTTTGGTGGACTCACTTCCCCTTCCCTCCCCAACCTTTTCCAGGTACTCCTGTTCTCATGGCCTGATAAACTAACTTCAGTGCCCTGGGGACAATGACCTCCAAGCTTCAGTGAAAACTACTTTTCCACATTCAAGATTAGTTAGTACTCATTTCTGCAGAGGAGACCCTGACATGACAGCTGATAGTTTAAGCACTAGCTAGGTGCCAGCAGTGATCAAAATGCACCCTCTGGCAGGCACAGTGTTGCACACCTGTTATCCCTGCAGCTCAGGAGGCTGAGTCAGGAAGATCATGAGTTCCAGGCCAGCCTCAGCAACTTAGTGAGACTGTCTTAAAATTAAAAATAAAAGGGGCTGGGGTTGTAGCTCAGTGTTAAAGAGCCTCTGGATTGAATCCCCAGTACTTAGCAGAAAATTGGTCATTCCTTAAATCCTCAAAACAATCCCAGAAACTTTTACCGCGGTTATTTTACCAATGGGGAAAGTGGGGTCCAGGGAGAAATAGTGAATTATCCAAAGTAATATAGCTAGTACCTCATCAGAGCCAGGATTTCAAACCACCTTTTGATCTAATTCCACAGCTGAACTGCTTTGAAAGCAGCACTGCCTCCCTGTGGAAAACAAAAGCAATACAACACTATTCACTGCCCTGGAGCTGGAAGTGGGGCATCTGGAGGACAAATGTTCCAGACTGAAATATATAAGGTCACTCGCCAGTGTATGGTCTACTCAGTGCAATCAAGAAAATCTGAATCTGGAACTAAGAGAGCTAAATGCCCCAAACTTCAGGGCCAACCAGAAAGCAGGTGAAAACTTCCGTATTAGCTGGGAGCAGTGCCACATACCTGTAATCCCAGTGGCCTCAGAGGCTGAAGCAGGAAGATTGCAAGTTCAAAGCCAGCCTCAGTAATTTAGTAGGGTCCTGTCTCAAAAGATAAAAAGGGCTGGGGATGTGGCTCAATGTTTAAGCACCCCTGGGTTCAATCCCTGGTAGGAAAAAAAAAAAAAAAAAACCTCCCAATTAGTTGGGTGTAGTGGTGCATGCCTACAATTCCAACAACTTTGGAGGCTAAGTCTGGAAGATGGTAAGTTTGAGGCAAGCCTGGGCAACTTAGTGAGACCCTGTCTCAAAAATAAATAATTAATTAGATAAATATGGCCTGTAATCCCACCAGATTGAGAGGCTGAGGCAGCCTCCCAATCAAAAGTTCAAGACCAGCCTCAGCAATTTAGCAAAATCCTGTCTCAAAATAAAAAATAAAATAAAAAGACATGGTGATGTGATTCAGTGTTGAAGAGCCCGGGGTTCAATCTCTAATACAAAATAATAATAATAAATTTAAAAGGGGCTGAGGATGTGGCTCAGTGATTGATTGCCCCCTGGGTTAAATCTGCAGTACCAATTAATGAATAAATAATAAAGGTTGGTGATGCAGCTTAGTACTAGTGTCCCCATGCCCAGGAGTTTGATTTCTAATTTAGGGGGAAGAAAAAAAGCAAATCAAAAATACCTCCCAATCACCTAGTCCCTCAGCTTCCCAAACTCCCTTCAATTTTTTTTAATTGGGGAGGGGGGGTTTACTGGGAATTCAACCCAGGTGTACTTTACAATTGAGCTCCATCCCAGCTTTTAAATTTTTATAAATATTTTTAGTTGTAGTTGACACAATACCTTTATTTTATTTAATTATTTTTATGTGGTGCTGAGGATCGAACCCAGGGCTTCACACATGCTAGGCAAGCACTCTACCTCTGAGCCATAACCCCAGCCTCTTTTATTTATTTATTTATTTATTTATTTATTTTTGAGACAGGGGATCACTCACTAAGTTGCTTAGGGCTTCACTAAAAATTTCTGAAGCTGACCTCAACTTGCAATCAATCCTCTTGCCTCTGCCTCCAGAGTCGCTGAGATTATGAGCATGAGCCATCACACCTGGAAGAATTATACTTTAAAAGAGTCCCATCTCTCCCAGCACAGCATCTGCTCCTTGGTGTGACAAAATGGCCAGGAACTTCTCCAGCATCAGCAACTCCAATACCTCCTTCCTGGAGCGCTGTCAGGCTCAAGCCATTCACGGTAACAGTCCAGGAGATGCCCGAGGGTTTTCTGGGAACCAGAATTCTCAGATGCAAAGGTGGGTAGTTCCCAGACTGGGCACTGAGTCAAGTGGAAGCAACTCCTGGCTCCAGTGCAGAAACGCCTACAGTTTCACTATTACAGGAGCCCTTTCCTCTCCGAGTCTGGACCAGAGCCACCGTCAAGTTCTCAGACCACATTGGCCCAAAATGAGCTACACCTGTGTAGAAGGTAACCTGGGCCAGATGAGAAAAATGTTGGCTTCAGAAGATGCTGAATGCCTGGGGCTCCAAGTCAGCTGGAGAGAACAACTTTGGCCTGGGCAGAGCTGCCTCCAGTACCTTGGTTTCAGTGGGCTCAGGTTAATGCAGTGCCTGCCATCCTCCGAACAAGGATGCTGTAACACCTTCCACCACCACCCAAGTCCGTTATCCACCAGAGCCTCTTGGAGGCAGATGAACATTGGCTTTCTCCTCTCCGTTGTGGACCCACTTAGGTCTATGTCGTGGGTCCCAGGAAGTAAATTCTAGCACTAAAGTTTGGCATTCATATACCAACAGTGCCAGCTTGAGACTAACATGAAAGACTGTTTCCAATTAAAACCACTGTATGTAGTAGCCATTGGATCAGGCCTCACGACAACCTGCTTCAGATCAATGAAAAGGAAAATTTTGCTTCCAGAGATGGGACCAGCGAGGGACAAATTGGAAGACAGTGCCAGTGGGTGAATTCTGAGACCCGAAAGACCTCTCTGGTGGTGGTTGAAGGTGGAGAGAAATGGGCGGGGTTGATCTCTGGAAGCTCAAGTCTTCAAGAGAAGGAAACTAGGAAGCAAACCCAAGGTCCCTGTGACTAGCGGGCAGATGGCCAGAGTCGGAATCCCCAAGAAAGCTTATTAAAATGCGAATCCTTAAGCTCATAGAAGACCCAATGCGTTAATATCAGGTTGCGCAGAGAAATCTGTATTTTTAACTAGCTTTTCTAAAAAAAAAAAAAAAAAAAAAATCCTTCCACACACAGTTTTGAGACTCACTTAGCAGGCCATGACAGATTAAAGAGATGTTCCAGACCCGCTCTGGTTAGATTACTCTAAGGCTGTTGGTTGAAAAGCCCTCACTTTGTCACAACCCCCGAGCTCGCCTCGCCCAACCCCCAGGGACCAAGAAGCGATAGACCGGAAATGGGAACAATTCCAAAGCAGCTTGAAGCTAGGAAGCCCGGGAGAGTCCCAGCTCCTCCCACGTCAGCATCCTTCTGGGCCCGGAGCGCGGCGGGCGACGTGAGGCCTACCGGGAAATGTAGTCCACAGCGCGGCTCCGCGCCTGCGTCCTGGGCAGTTGCCGGTGAGCTTGGGAGAGCCTTGGGCGCTGAGGCGGTGAGTCCCGGAGCGGCCAGAGGGCGTGGTCGTCCCTGGGGCGCGGGCGCGGGTAGCGGGGTTCCCTTCGCCTGCCTGGGCTAAGCGAACTGGCAAATTTCAGATGTGCCTCGGGCGGCAGCCGCTGGAGCAGCGAGGGGCGGCGGGCCCCTGACGGACCAGGGACCCCGCCGCCGCTCCCTGCAACCCGGCCAGGCCTTCCTGGGATTCCTCACGGGCTGGGAGTGCCCCTCTGGGCGGCGGGACCTCGTCGCCCAGGAGCGCTCGGAGACCGCGCCCGTGACACCAGCATCCGATTTTAAACCAGCTTTTAGACTTTTCAGGGACATGTCACTCGTGCCGTTCCTCAAGTGCCCCCTTTTCTCACATCGGTTTACTCGTAGGCCGTGTGAAGGCGGGTTCACGACACGGAGATTTGGGAGGAAAAAACAGCCCCCAGTGCAGTTAACTTTTAACTGGGAAGGACAGATGGAAGGAAACAAGGAAACCCGGAGGGTCACTTCCCTGGTAGACGTGGTGGAAGGTTTTGGGTCAGTGAGGGGAGGGCTGGCCAGCTGTGAGGCTGGAGCGGATTAACTGGTAGGTCCACGGCCAAAAAAATCGCAGTTCCTGGATGCCCTCCAGCAACGGTTAGATGCCTAGGCTCTGGAAGGTAGAAGCTTCCTAGGAAGGAGTCATGACCAGCAATAAACTTATTGAGCCCTTTCCTTGTGCCAGGCATGCTGCTCTTCGCTTTCCTTGCAGTTGGATCCGGGTGGGATATTTTATAAAGTTAATGCTATGATTATGCATGTATTGTACACAGAGGCATTGAGTGTCAGGGTCACACAGCTAGTAGGTTATTACTTCTAACTCCATCTGCCACTAAAATTCAGGCCACCATCATGATAAAGGGTGATAATAGGAACAGAGTTTCAATTCTGGTTAATGGAATGGGGAAAAAGTCCTGAGTGTTCTTTTTCTTGAATTCCCGCCAGAGAGCTGGCTCAGCAAATGCAGAGGACCCATACATAGTACATGGGCAGGTACAGATCCTGAAACCTGTGGAGACATGTAGGTGACCACCTCGGTGACCTCAAGAATTATGCTAAGAATACTTTGATTTTTTGTTGTTGATCACCCTTTATTTTATTTGCTTATACGAATTGCTGAGAAAGCCAGTGCCTCACACATGCTAGGCAAGTGCTCTACCACTGAGCCACAACCCTAGCCCCACTCTGATTTTTTTTTTTAGACTTCTTAAAAGCAGAAGACTATGGGTTTAACATCATGGACATTTTCTCTTGGCACTTACCATGTGACTTTGGACAACTTAATTTAATTTCCCCTAAGCCTCAAACCTCTGTTCCTTAATCTGCATTCCTGGGATAATACTAATAGGGAATGCCTAAGATTGAGTGAGGGTTAACTAAATTAATACATGCAGGATGCTTAGAACAGTATCTGGCATATAGCATGAACTTGATATATATCCTTCATTATAAGTGAAGAGCAAATTCCTGTTGAGCTGCCATATAGCAGTGTATTTTTCACAAAGGGGAGCCATTTGGAATACTACTGAAAAATGAGGATCTTAGTGATATAGGCTGAACTGAACATACCTTGAATGGAGAAGAATGAGGGGTCAATGATTGGCTGCCCTTGAAAAGTGTGATTTTGCTTAAATTCACTTTGATCAAAGGCTATTAAGTGGTACTTAAACCCTGATGGTGAAAGTTATTCAAAAGTATTGTTCTGGGTTTTTTTCTGTACTGGGAATTTTAACCCAGGAATTCTCTAGAGCTGAGCTATATCCCCAGCCCTTTTTATTTATTTATTTATTTATTTTTTTGAGACCAGTTCTGGTTAAGTTGCTGAGGCTAGATTCAGACATTCAATCCTCCTGCCCTAGCCTCACAAGTCACTGGGATTACAGGCAGGCATGACTCAGAAATATTGTTAATATTCCTCCCACATTTCCTTGGAGACCTCCATATATTCAGAAACACATGATACTTGGATTAGACAAGGAATAGGGTTAAATGCCAACAGATCTTTAGGGGCATATTTAAAGCTAGAGTTCTTAGCCTTGGGATGGTAGAATTCAAAAGCAGAGCTGTTCAATAGAATTTTTGGCAGTGATATTTATTGAGCACTTGAAGTTTTTGTTACTGTGACTAAGAAACTAAAATTTTAATTAAACCTAAAGTGTCACATGGGACTATAGGCTACCATATTAGACAGAACAACTCTAGAGGGTATATGAATAAACTGAGATCCTAGAAACTTTTTAAATGTTCTCAGAAGTGGATATGTATGTATTTTTTTCAGACGGCAAGTCCTCAGATTCTCAAAACCACTAGAAAGATAACAAAGTGATCATGTAGGTCTTTGATAAAGATAAATAAAGACAGTGAGTATGTCCTCTTGTAACCATTGCTGTTTCTCTTTTCTCATTTTTTCCCTGTCTTCAGCTATAGGTGTTTTCCCCTGATTATTACACAGAACAAACTGAAATCCGAGACCTCAGGTCCCAGATAAACTCTAATCTTCTGAAAGAGGCAATGGCTGTGGCCCTGGGTTGTGCAATCCAGGCCTCCTTGAATCAGGGCTCTGTGCTGCAAGAGTATGACACTGACTGTGAAGTGTTCCGCCAGCGCTTCAGGCAATTCCAGTACACAGAGGCAGCAGGGCCTCATGAAGCTTTCAACAAACTCTGGGAGCTTTGCTGTCAGTGGCTGAAGCCAAAGATGCGGTCTAAAGAGCAAATACTGGAGCTGCTGGTGTTGGAGCAATTCCTAACTATACTGCCCACGGAGATAGAGACCTGGGTGAGGGAACATTGCCCAGAGAATAGAGAAAGAGTTGTGTCACTGATAGAAGATTTACAGAGAGAACTTGAGATACCAGAGCAGCAGGTGAGAAAAGAGTATGGGGTCTTTGTTGTTAGATCAAAAGAAGTACTGAGGCAACTGGATCTAGACCAGACATTTTGTCTGTGTACCATTCTCTAGCCTTGACACTTCTCTCAGATGTCTTTTTGTTTTTCCTTTTTGCTAGAAAGAGTATCAAGTCAGTGGTTCTCAAACTGGCCCGACCCTACCCATTTCTGTAACACATATTTTATAATATCTCTTTATTATCCATAAATGAAACTTACACATAACAAAGTACCTATCTGTAACAACCAAATGCTTTTATGTATTGTTCCATGACCTACAGGTCAATTCTGACCTTGGCCTGTTTCTGTGTACATTGTGAGCTAATAATGACTTTTACATTTTTAAAGTGTTTTTTTTTTAAAGAGGAAGAAGAAGAAATAAGAAAGTAAACATAGTCGAAAAGCCTAAAATATTTACTATCCAGCTCTTTACAAAAATAGCTTGTTGACCCTGAAGACAGTAGAATGCAGAAAGCATATAAAGGAAAATGAACACAGTATATTAGTTACTAATACACATATCTGTAGAAATATGTTTGCTTGACTTTACAAGAAGATATCATGAAATTGTCAGATGCCTATCTCTCTTCTTAGAATTGTTATAGTGCCACAGCCAATATTCAGACTAATACAGCTCAAGTACTATGCACTGTGGCTGCTTGTCAGATGATTTCCCTAAGTGGCAAACAAGTCTTTGTAAATTGGAACAAGTAATGTAATCTTCCTTTGATTTGCACAGTAATGCATTCGTAGGAAATCCAAGTCATCCTAAAATATGGAAAAATTGTATCTTTTCAACAGGATATTGATGCTGGGAGGTGCTCTTCAACTATATGAATGTTTGAGGGGGAACTGCACAGTTGGTAGGGACCCGGAACAACTCTGGTTGGTGAGCAATGCTCCCATCTCTGGTCCACCGAATCCCCGTAGCTGGCACCAGCCAGCATATGTTGGACACTCCACAGGGGCATTGGAAGTGCCCTGGGTTCAGAAGTACCTACCACAGGATGCCTGTGTTTGGGGAGTGCAGGGCTGAGGGGAGGGCGGTGTGTCCGGGAGAGGGGAGCATGTGCTTCTAGCGGGGTGTTGGGGTGCTGGGTGTCCTGTCGGGCAGGGCTCTGCAGGAGCTGTTGGCTTCAGGGCACAAAGAAGTCTGAACAGGAAGCTTCTAAAGGTTTCTGCTTCCCCAGACTAGAATGCGGTAGTGGTTTCCCTTCCCTTCTGTCTTCTTAGTTTTGTTTACCATACAAGATTTCGTCTTCATGTGCTCTAGACTGGCACTTGAAGTGCTGCTGCCCAGCACAAGAGCCACGGGCCACGTATGGCTCTTGAGCACTTGAAATGTGGCCAGTGCTGGTTGAGACCTGCTGTGGGTGTAAACTGCAGAGCCCATGCAGAAGCTGTGGGGGGAAGAGGAGGTAGTACTTGGTAATTGTTTGGATTGATTACATGCTGCAATCCTGATGGTTTGCATATGTCGCTTTAAATCTGACGGGCTATTAAGATTGAGGACTCCCTGGTTCCTTTTTTACATTGTGTCCTATGACCACTGGAACATTTTAAACTACACATGTGGCTCTCATTTGACTGCTAGTCAGCAATACTTTGCTTTAGAATGAGGTTAAACTAACTTCACTTCTTATGGATAACTCTAAACTGATGGGTTCTGGCATTTCCCCCAGGTCGATATGCATGACATGCTCTTGGAAGAACTGGCTCCTGTAGGAACTGTACCCATGCCAAACATGCACCTGGAGACATCTGCGCTCCAGGGAATAGGACCTGTCCAGGAGGCTCCCGTGACAGGGGCCTGGATCCCACAGGCAGGGCCTCAGGAGCTGAACTATGGTGCTGCTGGGGAATGCCAGCCCTTTCTGGATCCTGGTAAGGCGAGGTTTTCTTTCTGCTCTTTTGTGTCTGACCGAGCGAGCGCACAAGAGCTCTCAAAGGTTGGGGTTGCTGGGAAACATGAATTCTCCGGTGGAAATGGACCACTTGGATGAAAAGGAGGGGAAGGAAGAGGAGATGTCTCTCTGGGAACAGCAGGGGAAAATGCATTTTGGGTACAGTGGCACGGGGAACAGGCGAAAGTAACCACCCTTCTCATGAGTAAGCAGTCACTCAGCCCCAGCAGCACCTGGGGTACAGGTTTAACAAGGTCTCTGAGCAAAGTGCTGCACACACCACCCTTTGAGAACCACGGCCCTGGACACAAATGGGTGCGTGCTAGCAGGAGAAAAGGCCAGGTGGAGAAAGGCAGCGGGACTTGATGCCTGGGTGTTCCTGTTTCCCTTCCCTTTGCCATTTCCTTACATTGCTACCCACGCCCTGTCCCAGCCCTCCCCTCCCCCACTGAAGCTTGGGCCCAAGTGTGGTGGGAGTCCTCTCCCTTTCCCCAGCAGCTCAGCGTCACCATGTTGGCACACCAAGACACTGTGTAGTCCTGAGAGCACCAAAGAGCCCTGCAGATGAAAATGGGTGGAGAACGGTCCATGTTGCAAAACAGAAATGTGGGATGCCCCCATCACTAGCACTGGGCCAGGGCTTAGCAACTGTGTCCCCTTCCACTTCTCCACATTTATTCCCACAATCAACATTCTGAGCACCGTGAAGAGCCAGGCATCTTGCTGGACCCTGTGACTAGACAGTCCACGAGGAGGCAGGAAAGCAGCCCCAGCTGTCCCGGCACCCACTTCTGGTGGACAGTCCAGATATGTTGGATATGTGATGGGAACGTGTGTGTGTTGGAGGGCTTAGGATGCTGGCAGAGCACACAGCAGGCGCCCTTGCCATCATTGGGCTGAGGGAAGACCTCTGGAGGAGGGGGATCTGGGGTAGTACTCTAGGATGGATTGGAGTCAGCCATTGAGTGGTGGGAGTGAGGAGGGGGAGCCTTGGCAGAAGGGCTGCAAGTGCAGAGGCCCCGGGGCAGAGAGAAGACCTGCTGCTACACTCTGAGGGGTGGGCAGAAGTAGAGAAGCAGGGGTAGAAATTGAAGAAGCTGGAGAAAGAAGCAGTGTCCTGAGTCATGAAAAACTTTTTCTTGTGTTTGAGGAATCAAAATTTAATATCAAGCAGGCATCGTGTTTTAGGCCTGTAATCCCAGCCTGTAATCTCAGAGACTGAGGCAGGAGGAGTGCAAGTTTGAGGCAGTCTCAGCAACGTAGTGAGGCCCTAAGCAATTTAGTGAGACCCTGTCTCAAAATAGAAAATAAAAAAGTGCTGGGAATTTTGCTCAGTGGTTAAACACCCCTCTGTTCAATCACTGGCGTCCCCCCAAAAGATTTAATATCAAGGCTTTGGGGAATGTTTGAAAGTTTTCAAATATCATCAGAGTGATATAGGCAGACTTACATTTTAGGAGATCACTCTGGCTACAGTACTAGTGAGATCCAGTGGAAATGGGGACACCTTTGGGAGGTTGTTGAAATCCTCCAGGTGGGAGAGAAGTTTTCTGAACCATGGGTGTATTGGTGATGATGGAGTGAAAAGGGGTAATTCAAAAGATATTTAGCAGGTATGAAATATAGGACTTGGTGGGGTGTCAGTGATGAACCAAAAGGTATGAAGGATGGCATCCAGATTGTAATGTTATTTACTGACATGGAGAACACAGATAAGGATCAAATTTGGTGGGTCAAGGTGAGTTTAGATTTGAACATATGGATCTAGGATACTTGTGGATTTCGTTTGCTTTTTCTTTTGGTACCAGCGATTGAACCCAGGGGCACTTAACCACTGAGGCACATTCCTAGGCCTTTTAGTTTAGTTTTATTTTTTAATTTGAAACAGAGTTTTTAAGTTGCTTAGGGCCTTGTTAGCTGCTGGGGCTGACTTTGAACTTGCAATCCTCCTGCCTGTGCCTCCTAAACCACTGGGATTACAGGCATTCACCACTGCACCTGACACATATTTTTTAAATAATGCTGACCAGGAGAGGAAAACCCTGAAATACATTTTCTTATTGTGGTCATTGCAGAACTATATGATGTCATCATTTATATCCCAGTCTTTATGTTACCTTCATTTAAAAGTCTGCTAAATAATTATTTCAAAAATCTGTGTATATGTATGTGTGCTTGCCACAAATAGTAGAGTTTCATTAGTCCTATCAAATTATAGCTCTTTTAATATACACATTCTGATTCTATATGTTAATTTGCTTCTTTTATCAATATTACAGGTTCAAAGATCACAGAGCAGCAGTATTCATCATGGTGTAAAGCACATGAAAATTCAGTGTGCTTAACAAAAGATAGGTATAGTTAGTTAATCAAGTAAGAAATACAAATTTGGAAGAGGGGAAGTATCCTGTTTTCCCTGTTTAAAGTATATAATACACTTTGCAAAATGATGTAAGACTTCTTCCTCCATTATTTAAAGGTTACTTAAGTATTTAAACATCTTGATGTATTGCATGAAGCAGATCCTATTGGAGATGGAGTGAAAAGCACAAGATACTGGCTAAGTGAAGAATGAATTTAAAAGTAATGGAAGAAATCAATTGAGTTTATGTTAAAGTTTGCAATATATTCTCTGTCAGCAAAATATTAGGATGGTTTAATTATATGAAATGTGTGTGTGCACACAAGTATTTTGGTCATTTAATGATATTTTTTTATAACTGAAAGCACACACACGTTCATTGCAAAATAAAAAAAGAACTTAAAGGAAAAATTCAGAGTGATCTAAGGAAGACATAAACAAAAAAAATCCATCATTAAATAGAAGCCAGACACTCTAAATCTTACAGGTGGGTAATGCTATTAGAATGTCTATAGTCAGAAAGAAAAGAGGCAAGGAGGCACTGGTCCTAAAAGCATGAAGAGTATCATGCCAACTCTATCTTTGGAGAATGTGGAATTCAAAATTATTACACCAAAATTGGAACATATTTTCAATTATCAAACCTTTGGGGTTTTTTTAACTTTATTTTAATTTTTATGTGGTGCCGAGGATCCAGCCAAGCATCCTGCATGTGCTAGGAGAGTGCTGAGCCACAAATCCAGCCCCAAAACTTTGGGTTTTTGTTTCAATCAATACATTTTCGTTTGGAATACATGTGAGATGTCAAAGATCACATCCTTTTGGTGATGAAGGTTATGAGAGATGAAAATTTAAACATGAAACCCATACTATCTGGAAAGCATCAGAACATTCTTGTCACTTAAATCTCTCCAGATTATCCTATTATATAAAATAGTTAACTGTAAGCTAATATCTAACCCAAAACTATATTAATAATATTTCACAGTGTAGTGGAACCTTTATGACAGATTTTGCTAATGGAGCTTGATAAAGTCTTTCCCTGAGTATAGGACTTGAAGAGCATTCTTCAGTAATCACCTTTTTAGTTAACCTGTGGTTGCTTTTTCCTTCTTTGTATTATTTAGCTTTTGTTTCAAAATAAATTTTTCTGCCCCCCAATTTTAGCAACATAAGGAAAAAGCATTTATCACAGTTTCTGAGAGTCAGGACTTTGGCAGTTGTTTATTGGATGTTTCTGGCTCAGTGTGTCTTTTATAATTTTAATCAAGTGTCAGCAGGGCCTGGCAGGCAGCTTCAATTCCTTGCTAAGAGAGCTTCTTCAGAGGCTACCTGAGCATCAGCATGACAGGACAACAGGCTCCCCCCCCCCCAGTAGATGATCCAAGAGAAAACAAGGGGCATGCCTTAGCATCTTTGGTAACCTAGTCACACACCAGCTTTTCTACCACATTCTCTTTATTCGAAGGGAGTCACTAAGGGCTGGGGTTGTGGCTTTGTGGCTCAGCGGTAGAGCGCTTGCCTTGCATGTGTGAAGCACTGGGTTTGATCCTCAGCACCACATATAAATAAATAAATAAGTAAACAAACAAACAAATAGAATGAAGATATTGTGTCAAAAAAATGAAGGGAGGCACTAAGTTAAACCCACCAGCCCACACCCCACAATTAAGTGTTAAGTGAAGGAAAGGAAAAATCCTACCTCTGGAATGGAAGAATATCAAAGAATTTGGGAGCATGTTTTAAAATGATCATGTTTTCTTATATTTAAGACTCTTACCATTTTCAACTAATTTTATAGGGTGTGAGGTAGGAGTCCAACAGATACTTTATTTGCATGTGGATAGCAAGGTGTCTCAGCATTATTTGTTGAAAAGGCTATACTTTCTGCATTGAATGTCTTTGAAACTATTGTTAAAAATCAGTTGATTGGAGGTATATGGGCTTATTGCTGGATGCATTATTTCTATCCTGCTGATTCATATGTCTATTCTCATGGATGTACCAGACTGTCCTGATTATTATTGCTTTGTGGTAAATTTTGAAATCTGAAAATGCAAGAATTCAACTTTGTTCTTATTTTTCAAGACATTCTGAATTTGTTGTAATTTCATCAGTTTCTACATAGAAGTCAATTAGGATGCTTTTAGGGATTGTATTAGATGTGGATCAATTTGAAGAGTATTACCAATGTTAACAATATTAGATTTTGTGATGCATGAGCCTAAGATGCTTTTCTATTTATTCAGATTTTCTCTGATAGCTTTCAACAATGTTTTATAGGTTTTGTTTTTGTTTTTGGTACTGGGGATTTAACCCAGGGGCACTTTGCCCAATGAACTACATCTTCAGCCCATTTTATGTTTTATTTTGAGACAGGGTCTTGCTAAATTGATGAAGGTCTCACTAAATAGCCCAGGCCAGCCTTGAATTTGTAATCCTCCTGTCTTACCCCTTCCAAGATGCTAGGATTATAGGCATGTGTGTCACCACACCCAGCTGTAGTTTATAAAGTATAAGATTTGTATTAATTTTTTTCCTAAATATTTTATTCTTGTTAATGTTATTGTTGGTGCAATTGTTTTCTTAATTTTATTTTTGGATTGTTTGTAGAAAGTATATAGAATTACAATTGATTTTTCTATATTGATGTTGTATCCTACAAATTACTGAACTTGCTTATTATTTCTTAGTAGATTCTTAAGAACTTTCTATGTACAGAACCATGTCATCTGTGAAAAGAAACAGTTTTACTTCCTGAGATTCAATCTAAATCTGTTTGTTTTTGTTTTTTGTTTTTTGCCTAGTTGCCCTTGTCAGAACCTTAGTAGAATGTTGAATAAAATGGTGAGAGTTCACATCTTTGCCTTTTTTCCTGCTTGCAGGAGAAATTTAATTTTTCACAATTACTTATGATTTTAGCTGTGGATCTTTCATAGATACTTTTTATCAGGATGAGGAAATTGCCTTCTATTTGTTGTTTGAGTTTTTTTAAAAATCAGGAAACAGTATAAATTTTGCTTGATTATTTTTTTCTGTAGGTATTGAAATGAACGTGATTTTTTATTTGATATTCTACTGTAATGTTATATTAATTTTTAATGATAAATCATCTTTGCATTCCTGGAATAAATACCTGGTGTATAATTCTTATTATGTATTGCTAGATTCATTTTACTAACATTTTGTTGAAGATCTTTACCCCCATATTCAGAAGAGATACTGGTCTATAGTTTCCTTTTCTTGTCCTGTCTTAATAAGATTTTTTTTTTTTTTTTTTGTCACAGCAATAAGGGCCTCATAGCATGAGTTAGAAAGTCTTTCCTCCTCGGGGCTGGGGATGTGGCTCAAGCAGTAGCGCACTTGTCTGGCATGCGTGCGGCCCGGTTCGATCCTCAGCACCACATACAAACAACGATATTGTGTCCACCGAGAACTAAAAAATAAATATTAAGAATTCTCTCTCTCTCTCTCTCTCTCTCTCTCTCTCTCTCTCTCTCCCCCCCTCCCTCCCTCTCTCTCTCTCTCCCCTCTCTCACTCTCTCTTTAAAAAAAAAAAAAAAGAAAGTCTTTCCTCCTCTTCTTTTTTTTTTTTTTTTAGTTAAGGGGAGATGGTGCTGAGGATTGAACCCAGGACCTTGCATATGCAAGGCAAAGGCTCTGCTTCTGAGCTACATCCCCAGCCCTCCTCTGCTTTTTTTTTTAAGTATTTGAAGAATTGCAGTTTTTTTTTCTGTTTTTACTTATACTTTCTTTTTTAAAAATATCTTTATTGATTTTTATGTGGTACTGAGAATCAAACTCAGTGTCTCACACGTGTGAGACGGGCACTCTACCAAATGAGCTACAGCCCCAGCCCTCTTTTTTTAAATATTTATTTTTTAATTGTAGTTGGACACAATACCTTCATTTTATCTATTTTTATGTGGTGCTGAGGATTGAACCCAGGGCCTTGCATGTGCTAGGTGAGCAACTCTACCACTGAGCCACAACCCAGCCCTTTTTGCTTGTACATTCAATGTCATATTTGTAGAACTGTTGTCTAAATCAAGGTCATGAAGATTTTAACTTATACTCCTTCTCTTATGTATTTATATCTTACCTTGATCCATTTAAAGTAAATATTTTAAACGGGGAACCAATATCATTCTTTTGCACATGGATATCCTGTTGTCCTAGCACCATTTATTGAGGAGACTACTCTCTCTATATTGAATTTTCTTAGCACCTTTATAAAAATCCATTGATTATAGCCGGGTGGGGTGGCACATGCCCTTATTTATTATCTGATTTATTTTCATACATTTGTTTATAGTATTCCTTTATAATTCTTTTGTAAGGTTAGTGGTAGTGTTACCTCTTTCATTTCTGATTGTAGTAATTTGAGTTATCTCTGAACATGTTTTTATGGTATAGCATCTTATGTGTCCTGGAGAATTTTCTGTTTGCACTTATGAAGAATGTATATTCTGCTATTATTGGGTGGAGTGTTCTATGCATGTTTGCCATGTTTAACTTATGATATTTTCTTTGTCTTCTATAGTTAATCAGATTTTCTATCCATTAATACAGGAGTTATTGAAATGTCCAACTTCTATACTATAGAATTGTGTATTCTTCTATTTCTTTCATTTTTTTTTTGCTTCATGTATTTTGGTACTGTGTATTTAACTGCATATGTGTTTATAACTGTTTTCTCTTTCTGATTGATCGTTTTATCATAAAATGATCCTCTTTAGTAGCATTTCTTGTTTTAATATCTGTTTAGTCATCTTGTGGATGTTATTTACAGGATATGTATTTTTCCATCCTTTACTTTCAATCTTTTTTTTTTTTTTTTTGGTGGCACTGGGGATTGAACCCAGGGGCCCCTTACCAATAAGTTATATTCCCAACCTTTTTATTTTTTTTTAAATTTGAAACAGGATCTCACTAAGTCACTGAGGATCTCTCTAAATTGCCAAGGCTGGCCTTGATATTGAGATCCTCCTGCCTCAGCTTCCCCAGTTGCTGTGATTGTAGGCATGTGCCACTGCGCCTGGCTTCTTTCTTTCTTTCTTTTTTTCATTTGTTCCTGTGGATTTTAGTAATCAATTGGAATCATCCAGACCAATACAACTTTGCTCTCACCCACCTCACTTGTGCTATTATTGACAAATACATTACATTTCTATATATGTAGCACTTATTTAAAAAAATATTTTAAAAGAAAGAAGCAGAATTTTTTATTTATAATTTTTCTCATTACATACTTACCTTTTTTGTACTATTTTTTCATTTGGATTCTGTGGTCACTTGCCCAGATGAGGAACTTCCTTAGTGTTTTTTTTCAACTCTCTGTCTATAGATTATATGATATATATTACATAAAACATAATATAATTTATAATATATATATATATATATATATATATATATATATATATATATATTTGATAAGTCTGTTAGAATTGAATTCTGTTTTGTTTCTCAGGAATATCTTTATTGCATTTTATAGTGCTGGGGATCAAATCCAGGGCTTCACACATGCCAGGCAAGCACTCTACTACTGAACTATATCCCCAGCCCTTGCATATTCATTTTTGAAAGATAGCTTTGTTAGTTGTAAGATTCTTGATTGCCTGTTTTTATAGTACTGTGGATTGAACCCAGGGATCATTTGCCACTGAGCTTCATCCCTAGCTTTTTTTAGAGACAGACTCTCACTAAGTTAATTAATGCCTCAGTAAAGTTCTGAGGCTGGCCTTGAACTTGTGACCTCCTGCCTCAGCCTCCCATGTTGCTGGGATTATATGAATGCACCACCATGCCCAGCATACAGTTTTTATTTTTCTCTGAGTACTTTGAATATGTCAACCTCACTGCCTTCTAGCCTCTGTTGTTTTCTGATGAGAACTCAACTTTTAAGCCCTTCATGTAACTGATGAATCATTTTTCTCTTCCTGTCTTTTACGGTTTTATCCTTTTGTGTAAATTTTAGATCTTTATTTTATCTGTGGATCTATTTCCTTGTGTTTTTTCTATGTGAAATTCATTCTGCTACCAAATAAGTAGAGGCCTCCATATGACCTGAAGAGCCTGGATGGCTTTGTGTGTGATAGACATAATGTTTGTTTCTTGTGCCTATTTGCTGCATGCCCTCCAGTGACACAGATTTCTTGTTTTGTAATACTTGAAATTTTTCTTGGGATGTGAAATCTTTTTTTTTTCAAGAAATCACTTAGAATCATCAGTGTGTTCCTTCCTGGATATGCACATTAATGTTTTTCAATGTTTGAGATCATTTTTTCTTGTAATATATTTTGCTGCCCTAATATCTATCATTCCAGAGAGACTGTGCATAGCTAAGGATGTGCTCCAGGAAGAGTGATGTCAGGTTAATATTGCTTAATAATACTTAGTATTGCAGGGGGATAGACTTCACTAAAATTACCCAGTCATTTGATAATAAATAAGCAAATAACAATGAAAGACCTTGGGGAGTGGTATAGAGTTGCTACAGTATATTATATAAAATGTCCAGTACCAACAAAAATTTATGAGACATGCATGTTGATACAAAACTATTGGGGCAGGGGAAATCAGGCAACAGAGTCCATTTATGAGAGTGACTAGAGATCATATTTATCAGAAAAACACTTCAAAGTAACCATTATGACTGTATTCTAAGAACTTGAGAAAACCACAATTAAATAAAGGAAGTTATGATGACAATATTATATCTCATAGAGATTAGCAATAAAGAGATAGAAATTAGAAAAATCAAATGGAAATTTTAGAGTTGAAAAATATAAAAGCTGTATTTGTTGGCTTTCCATTACTGTAACAAATACCTGAGATAATCAACTTTTTGGAGATTTCAGCATGATCAAAGCTTTTGGGCCTATGGCCAGGCAGCACATATGGTGCAGAATACATGGTGGAACAACTGTTCACTTCATGGCCAGGAATAAAAAAGAAAGGGGAAGAGACCAGGGTTCCACAATTCCTCTCAAGGGCACACCTCCCAATAACTTAAAATTTCCTACTGGGTCCTGCACCTTTAATTTCTACCACCTCCCAACAGCATCTAGCTGGGGACCAAACCTTTAACACATGGACCTCTTGGAGACACATATAAAATCTCAGAAAAAAAAAAAAAAAGCTCGGGGATGTAACTCAGTGGTAAAGTGCCCCTGGATTCAATTCCTGGTTACTGCTCCTCCACCAAAAAATAGACATAGAAGTAATTTAGTGCACTGATGTCAGCACACAGATTGTTCATTTACCTCCCATAGATTAGAGAACCTCCTTGAAGTGAGCACAAAAGAATGTTTCCATTTTTCTTTTGTTCTTATCATAAAAAAAAAAAAAACTTCCTATGACTCCAGATGAAGTAGTCTTAACCGAGGAGGAAGTAGATATCAAGAGGCCCTGTGTCCAAGAAATCAGCCCAAATTCTGGAACAACCAATGATGAATCAAACTATCATGCTTTCCTTCTTTGACCAGGATATCCATTACCAAAGCTTGATGTGACCTTCCCACTGGAGCATAGAGAAGAGCCATGGGTGAAAGAATTACAGGATTCCAAAGAAATGAAACAATTACTTGATTCTAAGATAGGTAAGTAAATGTTCATTAATGTACTAGGGAAGAAGGGAAAGAAAATTTCAACTTAATTGGGGTAAAGAGCTAGGAATTCTATTTAGGAATTTCTGTATTTCTGTTAATGGTTTAATATGACTCTTTTTTTTTAAGAGAGAGAGAGAGAGAGAGGAGAGAGAGAGAATTTTGTAATATTTATTTTTTAGTTCTCGGTGGACACAACATCCTTGTTTGTATGTGGGGCTGAGGATTGAACCTGGGCCGCACACATGCCAGGCGAGCGGGCTACCACTTGAGCCACATCCCCAGCCCAACTATTTTCCTTCAGTTTTTTTCCCTCTCTTGGAACACGATAACATTGGCAATTTTCCATCTCTTCTCTTAGGTTTTGAGATTGGGTTAGAAAATGAAGAAGATGCTTCAAAACAGAAAAAAATGGAGAATATGTATCCATTTGTTGTAACATTAGAGGGGAATGCTCTACATGGTCCCATTTTGCAAAAAGACTATGTACAGTTAGAAAATCAGTGGGAACCACCCCCAGAGGATTTACAGACAGATTTAGCAAAACTTGTAGAACATCAGAACCCCACTCTAGGAGAGACACCCGAGAGTTCCAACCTGGAAGAACCTCTCAACCCTAGGCCTCAGAAGAAAAAGAGTCCAGGAGAGAAACCTCACCGATGTCCGCAGTGTGGAAAATGTTTTGCTCGGAAGTCACAACTTACTGGACACCAGCGAATTCATTCAGGAGAGGAACCTCACAAATGTCCTGAATGTGGCAAAAGATTCCTCCGTAGTTCAGACCTTTATAGGCACCAACGGCTTCATACAGGAGAGAGACCTTATGAATGTACTGTATGTAAGAAGCGGTTCACTCGGCGGTCACACCTTATCGGGCACCAGAGAACACATTCTGAAGAAGAAACATATAAATGCCTGGAGTGTGGAAAAAGTTTCTGTCATGGATCAAGTCTCAAAAGACATCTGAAAACTCACACAGGTGAAAAACCTCATAGATGTCATAGCTGTGGGAAGAGTTTTAGTCGACTGACAGCACTTACTTTGCACCAGAGAACGCATACTGAAGAGAGACCTTTTAAATGTAATTATTGTGGAAAAAGCTTTAGACAGAGACCAAGCCTCGTTATTCATTTAAGAATTCATACAGGGGAGAAGCCATACAAATGTAGTCATTGTTCTAAAAGCTTCAGACAGAGAGCAGGTCTTATTATGCACCAAGTTACTCACTTTAGAGGACTTCTTTAAGAATTGTTAAGAGAAATAGGTCCTGTAGAGATTAATATTAGCTCAAAAAAGTCATAATTTGGAAGAAGCTCTTTGAACTTATAAGAACAGCATTTTTTTTTTTTTTTGCGGGGGGTCGAGGAGGCTATTTTTTAAACCCATCTTCCAAGGCATATAAGTTCTAGAGTATCCACCTATTCTTGCAGCTATCCTAGATTTGATTTATTCTGTCTTTTTTAAATTACAATGGAAAACTTTGTGTTCTGCCGGGGCAACCATATCATAAGTGTAAGCATATAAAGGATGATTATCCTTTTAGGGGTAGGGTCAATATAATGGATAACCATGTGTAGATGACATATCTGTAATAGAATACTTATTCTGCTGTGTAATTATTAAAGTTGACTACATAAGCTCAGAGCTTTAGATATGCCCCAGGTGCAAGAAGGGAGACAATGGATTTTGTCAAACAATAAAAAGTGTAAGGAACACAAGGATGAAGGGGAATATTATTTGCCTCATAAAAATAGGGTTACTTCTATTGAAATTTCTATGTTTAAGAAAATCAAGATTGTAATCTTTACTTTTGAATTTGCCAAGTTTACTGGTTTGCTTAGTTGGAAGTCTATGGTGATGGTGCTTAGAGAGGATTATTGATTTGGTAATTAAGCTATAGATCTGGAAGAATTAACTTGACAGGTGAAGTTGTACAAGTAGAATGGATTTTCTTTCATTTGACTAGAGAACCAATATTAATGGATTTTTTGCTCTCCTTTGATATTCACTTATGTGTCTTTCAGTGCTTTTGAAATTTTACCCATTTTTAAAATTCAGTGTCTCCATAAGTATGTGTCATGGCACACTTAATTCTGCAAGATATGTTGCAAGTAAGTTTGGAAACTGCTTCCTGCTGTTTCTCCTTCTTAGATTCATAATGCATATCAGCATATGAAAATCTCAGAGAGGTCCTCTACTAAAGGAGGATAAAGCACCTCTTTGGGCTTAACATTTTCTAAACTTATTGACCCCAGAACCTTTTTCATATACACCTAGTAATAACTTTTGAACCAGTATTTTGCAAATATCCCTTGGAACACACTGCCTTAAATAACTATTTCTATAGCTATCAGTGTAGTCCTGTTGATCCCAAGTTAGTAATCTCCATTTATTTCAAGGGTATTATGGAAATTTCTTCAAAGATATACATCTTTTGTATAATATACAAAACATACAGCACATCATTTTAAGGAGGTGGGGATCACTAATTCGGATAATTGCCCAGTGATTCTAAACCTCTTTGAATTTTACTCATAATTACACACACACACACACACACACACACCACAGTAGCATATACACACAGACCCACACACACATCAAATTAAGGAATTGAGGGTCACTCATTCAGATTAATTGTGAATTGCCCAGTGATTCTCAACCTCCTTGAATTTTACTTATAATCTTATAATTACACATACACACACAGTTATTACTTATATAAACATTTTCATATAATCATGGTAACAACGCCAATTCTCATAGCGAGGGAAGAAATCTTATCAGTTAAAGCTTATCATTGAGCCTAATTCCTTGTTATCAGATACAAGAAATAGGACATTCAAGCATTGTCCCTTTATGAAGATATCCAGTCATCCTTTCCTTAAACTATAACTAGGGAAAGTATATCTCTTCTATTGCATTGAAATTCTTGGAAGTGATAAGTATTTGGGGGGTATCTACTATGTGCCTAACTAGTCCTGTTCTAGGCTTAATGGAGCTAGTAAAGAAATATAATTCATGGATCAGGCTCATAAAGAGTTTATAATATCTGTAATTAAACAAGTGTTGGGAAATAAATGGACAACAATGCAAGAGAGTCTATAATTAAGTGCCAAATCATATTAAGTGCCAGAGCCAGGATGTCTTTAATTCTTAACATCCAGGTCCCTGTATGATGCTGCTATAAGTCTGGGGTTAAATTGAGATCCCAGTAGCAATAAACATGTAACATGGGAGGAGTATGAATGTAGAGATGAAAAATTCAGAATGTAATGGCTTCTTTTTTCTCTCTTGTGGAATTGCATTCAAACCAGAACAGTGCCTTAGAATGGATGTGCCCAACTGCTCTGTATTTATACGCTATTTTAATAAAGTGGAAACGTATATGCTCTCCCTGCTTCTCTTGCATCAAGTAATTGTTTGAACAACCTAGAGCTGCTTCTCTGAATAGTGGAAACAAGCACCACTATCCCCATCCCAAGCTGGATTAATTTTTCTCTTCACAAAGTGCTATAATTATGCATTCTTTTTAGCATTTAATACAGTCAATTTTAGCTGGTAGGCTTAGTTGCAATCATAGTATGATATGCCTCTTATCCCTCATATATATCAGAAACACAAATTACTTGATTTTTACAGGGTAGAGAACACCTTTGAACATCTCTTTGTTACAGTGCCCTGTTTACAGTAAGCATTAGTATTTGTGGCATTGAATTGAGAAGCTTGTGAAATAGTTCTTGGAAGCAGATTACACAGTTAGATGTGCTTAATTAGGGCACATACAGTACCTACCTCCTAACTGTTATGAAGGACAAAAATCAGTACCCACTTCATAAGTACTATAAAGATTAAAGGAAATATATTTTGTTCAAGTCTTAAAAGTATAAGCTTTTAATAAATATCCAGCATATTGTATTTGCATTCTTTGTTGTTTAATAATAAAAGCATTTCACTCTATGGATTTTCTTCTTAAGTGTGGCTTTGGTCATATTCCATCATTTTAAAAGATTTTTAAATTTTGATATTTGGGATTGAATCCAGGGGCATGCTACACTGAGCTATGTCCTCAGCTATTTTTATTTTTAGATGGGGTCTTTCCAAATTGCCAAGCCTGGCCTTGAACTTGTAATCCTCCTGCCTCAGCCTCCCAAGTCACTGAGATTACAGGCTTGTGGCACCACCTTACCCAGCTTCAAATAGAATGTTTTGATTGATGATTTCAAAGTTGTTGTTTCAATTTTTATTATAATTCCCTTTAACCCAAGAGCTATACAGTGTTGTCATTTTCCTTTTGCTTTTTGGTTTGATTGTATTATGACTAGAAAACATATTTCATTCCATTTCTTCTTTCATTTTGTTGTTGCTTTTGGTTTTGAACCTGGAGATTGGACCCAGGGTGTCCCTAAATTGCTGAAACTGACCTTGAACTTGCAATCCTCCTGCCTGGTATTACAAGTGTGTGCCACAGCACCTGGCTCATATAATTTTTTTAAAGACATATGTTTTAAAATATGTCAAGTATCCTAAAGACTCTACAAAATAAGAATTCTATTTGTGGATACAAATTTGGAATACAGTCTTTGGCTTCTCAATTACTTTAATATCTTTAGGATTATTTTTGTGAAGGAGCAGCAACATGGAGATTGGGAAACTCCCTTGTCTGTGTCCCTGTACTTTTATACTCTCTTTTCCCTTGAATATAATTTTTTTTTCAAAAAATTTTTGGTGGGTAGGTACCAGGGATTGCCCAGAGATGCTTAACCACTGAGCCACATTCCCAGCTGGTTTTATATTTTATTTTGAGACAAGGTCTTGCTAAGTTGCTGAGGTTGGCTTTGAACTTGTGATCCTCATGCTTCAGCCTTCCAGGTTGCTGCGATTACAGGCATGCACCACTATGCCCAGCAAGGAGTCTTATTTTGTGGCATGTTCCATGGATGTTCTATGGCAATTGATAATAGCTGCCTGAGTATTGAGGCTACCAGTAAATACAGGAGGCTAAAGGACCTAGGAGAGACCTAGCTTCTTCAAACCAGGCTGAGAACATTCTCCTAAGGAGTCCATAACTTTGTCCTCCTGAAGGCAGAGAGAAACTTGAAGGGAGCACCTTGAAACTTCTGTAACTGGACCTCGTGAATCAGCAGGGGTTGTTTCACAGTGTGCCAAGGAGGTTAATCCAGGACAATAGGAACATACATGGGAGTGGGTGCCCAAGAGTCTCACCACTAGGTGGCAGAGGAGAGTTGTTGCTCTTTGCCCCCTACATCTGAGGTCCCCAGGCCTTCTGAAAGGACAGTCTCTTGCACCTCCAGGAAACTGTGTGGGCCTTGGTCCTCAACCCTCTCTCTGTTCCAGCCTCTGACATGGGCAGAATCTTCTCCAAAATTACCAGAGCTCACCCTTAAGGCTGGGCCCAGCCTCAGGTCCTGTGCAGTACAGACAGCAGGTGTGCAATGGGATGGGAAGAAAATTCCTCTCTTAGTCTCTTCTTGTTATTAATAATCAGTTTGCTTACCCCAGATTCTGGGACTTCATCCACTGAGATTGAGGAGGGTGGGTAAATTCTCTTCTCCCCTGAGTAATGTACAAATTAGCCCTTATCAAGTTTTTCCAGCATCATTGTCAAACTTGATTTCTCTGTGATCTAGAAAGACCTAAGTTCACATTTTCTAAGGATCCTAAGATAGTAAAATATACAATTTTTCGTATATTTCAAGTATTTACACTTAGTAAACATCTTTATCACCTAGTACAAGAATATGAATGTATTAATTATTGCAAATAACTTCAAAAATCAAAAATTTGAGGTCTTCTCTAAAGATCAGACCATACCCTCTTGGCCATGGGAGAGGCCTATTTGCCCCTACTTTGAAATATATTCTATAATACTTCTTTCTTTCTTTTTTGCACCAGGGATTGAACCCAGGAACACTTAAGCACTGAGCCACATCCCCATCCCTTTTTAATATTTTATTTAAAGAAAGGGTCTTGCTGAGTTGTTAGGGCCTCACTAAGTTGCTGAGGCTGGGTTTGAACTTCAATCCTCCTGCCTCAGCCTCCAGAGCCACTGGGATTACAGGTGTGCGCCACCACTCTATAATATGTGTTTTTTAGCCACATCTCCCCAGTTAGGTTGCCCTTTTTAAAAGGTAATATAGTAGAGGAAAAACAGGTGAAGAAGTAGCAGCCCCACACCTTGTCCTGGAGTGCAGGGAAACAGTTCATCTTGGGAAAAGTGGAATCCCCGTTCTAAGATGTTTCTTAGATGGTGCTTTCCAATCTCCCCACAGACACACCAAGGGAAGAGAGATGGAGATTTGTAATGCTTACTTCAATTCTCCAATTCCTTCACTTCAAGCTGAGAATAGTATAATTCACAATGAGAAGTTCTATGATTACAAAAAAAATAGACCTTGGCAATGTCTCCAAGTTTAATTTCTTTACCTGTTGTGACAGGTTTAAGTCAGGTGTGCAAATTATTTGCCCCTGTTTTTGTCAAAAGGTAGTGTGTGTATGTCCCTACAACTAACAATACAGCCCTAAAATACATGAAGCCAAACTGACAGAATTGAAGTGAGAAATGGACAACTCAATAACAGCAGTTGGAGACTTCAGTATTCCTCTTTCAATTATGAATAGAACAACTAGGCAAAAGATCAACAAGTAAATAGAAAACTGAAACAGCATATCACTCAACAACAGTAAGAAAGCACATTCCTCTCAAATGCACATGAAATATTTTCCAGAATAGATCATATGCTAAGCCATGAAATAAGCCTCAATAAATTCGAAGAAATGAAATCATATAAAGTATGTTTGCTGACTCCAATGGAATGAAATAAGAAATCAGTAAGAGAAAGAAATTTAGAAAATTTACATCTACATAGAAATTAAATGTATATAATTATTTAATAATTATTGCCTCAAAATTATATTACAAAAATCAATAAGAAAATATTCAATGATAGCTAGGCATGGTGGCTCGTACCTGTAATCCCAGTGCCCTGAGAGCCTGAGGCAGTTTCATTTTTGTTTCTCTTTGAGTATTTTCTTTTCTAAAAAAATTTATTTATTCTAATTTGTTATACAGGATAGAAGAATGCATTTCTATTTATAGTACACATATAGAGCACAATTTCAATTCATAATACACATATAGAGCATAGAATCACAAGTTGAAAGCCAACCTCAGCAACTTAGTAAGGCCCTAAGCAACTTAGAATGAGGCCCAACTTAGTAGTGAGGCCCTAAACAACCCTGTCTCAAAATAAAATATAAAAAAGGACTGAGGACGTGGTTCAGTGTTTGGGTTCAATCCCTGGTACAAAAATATTTATATATTTATATTTACAAAAATATTTATATAGAAATACTCAAAGATAGGGAAGTGGAAGGGGTTAGGAAAGACTGTGGAATGAGATGGACATCATTACCCTAAGTACATGCATGAAGACACGAATGGTGGGACTCTACTTTGTGTACAACCAGAGACATGAAAAATTGTGCTCTCTACATGTACTATGAGTTGAAATTCATTCTGCTGTCACTTATTTATTCTAACTTGTAAATAAGATTTACAAGTTAGAATAAATAAGTAAATTTTAAAAAAGAAAATACTCAAAGATAAACAAAAATGAAAACTGAATGTACTAAAACTTATGGGATTTTATCCACCCTCCCCATTGGGGGCTTTTTTTTTCACTTCAAAGGAAACTGGTACTTACATACAAATTCTTCCAATTACTACGTGTATCTCTTTTCCTGGGGCCCAGCCATATGGAGGCCAAAGGGATCAGCCCAAGCCAGCAGTTGAGATTTTGTGTCCATGAGACATACTTCCCAGAGACCAAAAAAGAGAGTGGTTTCCATGCCTACTCTGCCCTCTGTGGTTCTGGGATCCAGGGCATCTCTATCTCTTCACTGCATATCAGGGACAGGTTCTGTTGTTTGCCTTACCCAGGGCACTGAGGGCTCAGCAGCTGGGTGGTTCCCAATTGGAGGTGTTGGTGTCCTCAGGCTCCAAGGGGACTGGTTACTTGAGTTGCACCTTCCAAGGGTTTCCAACCTAGGTCTCTGGCTCTTATGCCTGGAGAAGATGAGTCCTGAGAAGCTAGAGTGAGACTGAGGATGCTCCAGTGTGTCAAATTACACAAGGCCTGACACTGGCAGTCAGAAACTCAGGGTCACTGGTGGTTTGGGAACTTCAAGGACAAGAAATGCGGGAAAGTCACGCAAAGGGACTACAGCAGGGTGTGAAGAAGGTTCACCCTGGTATGCTAAGCTCCCTGGCTGACTCTACCTCATGGGGATCCTGTTGCAAACAGGGGTCATATCTAAGGATTTGTGGCCAGTTCTGAGGCCTCCACTTTATCACCCCACCCCCTGGCACCTGCCTGTCTAATCAGGTGGGGAAGAGGTGGTTTCTAGGTATGATCCCCATTGAGTGGCATGTAACTAACTCCTTGCATGGGCCCTTTGGTTCAAACCAGACCTGAGGAGAGTGTTATCTACACTAGAGGTCACACTTCTTCTCTTGGAAGAATCACCTTCCCCTCTCAGTCCTGGGAGGACCCTCCTCAAGTCTCTCCCCTTCACCCTTAGGAGACTCCTGTGAGTTTGACATATTCTATTATGCTCACCCTTGACTGGATGTGAGTCTAAGGACAGAGACATGGGAACCAGTGTTTCCTTCCAAGTTAACAACCCAAGGGAGGAAGACAGTAGGGAGGGAGGACATAGCAGATTACCCAAGTGGTGGGAAGTATTCTGGGAGGTCTCTCTGGAGGAGACAGGCCAAGGTAGAGTTGAGGGCAAGTGGCCTAAGGCTGGCTATCTCTTCTTATTCTTCCTTTTCCTTGTCTCCACTTTCCTTCCTGCCTCTTCTTTTGATCTCCAGATATAGCCAGTTATAGGCATCTAGACCAGAGTTCTCAGGCACCAGGCTGTACAAACTTTTACTCC